GTAAGCTTTCAACTAGCGCGAGCAGATCTTATTATTCATTCCCAGCGCGAGATTGAAGTCTTGTTTTCGACCCTGAAAAACCCACCTTTTCCGTTGGCTTAGAGCATAAAACTATATATAAGCGCCCTGGTTCTTAGTCCCTGCCTTATTCCCTGCCATCGCCGTGAAAGATACGCAAGAGAATCTCTCAACTCTCACCATTTGATCATGCAACGTGACAACATCCACGCGAGAACCCCCGACATGTACGTGGATCCGCGCGGATATATGACGTCAGGATGGCGCAACTTGTTCTGTATATAGAAAAATTGTCCCATTTCATAGGTGCGCGCGGACCCCAAGACTTACGGTCTCCCTACCCGATTATGGCTCCTGACTATATTTAAAATTTCTTCTTGGAAACGCTGTCAAGGAATCTTACCCTGAAGGCCGTACTTCTACTTAAAAAATTAGATTGTGAGCTCGAGGTTTGGTACATTCAGATAAACGACCAAGTGTGCGATTTTCCTTTCTTTTTCATTCAGTGTAACGCTTAGTAAGGGAAATAGAAAACATTTTCTTTACGTTTCTATCGAGAAGGACGTGGAAATACTAGTCTGCGGCTAGTCCAGCGTTCCTAGAGCATGTCTCGTTCGCTCAAACTAGCACCCTTGTTTCTGTAGCCCAATAGAGACACGGCAAATGTTTTCCATTTTATTCAATATCACTTACTTTCTTTGTCCGTCTTCACAATAATGATGTCACTGCCAGGACCATCTCCACATTCATTGAAGGCAAACACTATGAGATTGAACCTTCTGCCTCTCCTGAGTCCTGTTAAGTTGGCCATTGCAACGCTGAACTCTTTTGTCTCCCCGTCACCATGTTTGCCTGTTAATATCCAATTCACCTTGTATCCTAGAATGTTGCCGTGTAATTGATTGGACGAAACAGCATCCCACGTAATGAAGATGCTGGTGGAAGTCTTGCTGACCGCTGTCACATTTTGAGGAGGAATTACGGGCACTAAAAAATAAGATTTATTTAGCTTTTGCATTTAAACACGAAATAGTAATAATAAGGAAATAATAATAATAAAAAGGCTTGAGCATGCTTTGATTCAAGCAGGAAGGAAGAAACTCGAGCCGATATATATAGACAAGTATTTGTCTCTTCCAAACCCTTTAGCGCTTCTCGTCACTTTACCCAACCAATATTTTGGGTGAATCTGAACTTAGGAGAACTTTGAAAATCTGGCTCTTGCATTTCAGTGCCTTTATAAATGGTAGAAAATGATATACTGACCTGATTTATCCAAAAAGCAGATTCTTTGTTGCTGTGATTATTTAGTGGAATCAAAAGAAAAAATGTAATGTGGTTTGATTTAATTGTACATCGGATTTTCATTAAATAGAGTGAAAATTAGTCAAGGACAAATAATTACGGTATAGTGTATAAGCTGTTGGTTGAACCCGGGGGCTGGAATAATATATATATTTAACACACACTAGCTACGTAGTAGTAAGCACTGTGAACGTTTAAAGATTATAGCACATCGAAAACTTATTACCTATCCTTCAATTAAAAAATATACAATATTTAGAGAGGAAGCCACAATTGACACTCTAACGAGGTTCTCATTAGAACCCAGTTACGATTTTGCGCCGAATAGGTTAAATGTTTAAACAATAGAAAGAAGATGCTTTTGGAGCTCCAGCTTGGTTTTTAGAATAAGGTTTGTCAACAATGACAGCTCATATATACCTTAGGCAACGTTCACTACCCTCTGAAAGGACTATTATTTCTTCTTCAGGTAAAATTTTTGTCGTTGGCTTATTACGATAAATGTAAAATGAATGTAGCATTTAATTTTCACCAGGAGATTGGCTGGTGGATGTAAATTTTTATTGCATGTAAATTGTCTTGCAAAAAATAGAATTCTATTCGAGAATGATTGACTAACGTTAAAACATAAAACGGTTGTTCTCAAGAGCTAGGGAAGTTATGTTTTTAAATTTCGCATCGAATTATATGATGAAAAGTTGAAAAAAATAACACGAAATGGGCTATCTAAAATTAACTACTTCCCATCATGCAAAAGGCCCATAGTTAACCGAAATCCATGTAGGGTTATCGAAAGAAATAGGCCGACAATAACAAAAATTCTAACGATTTTTGATAACTTTTAAAAAGTTACGAGATCCTAAACATAGATGTAAATTTGATTTGCAGAATGGTCTACCTAATACTGCTCATCATAAAATAAATTCAGGCCGCATTAAAGATATAAAATTTGAATAAAATAAACAATCCGTAGAGAATAACACTTCAGGGTCACATGTAAACTTCAGCTGCAAGTCTTAGTGAACGCCTGGAAGAGGCTATGTTAGGTATCGACACAGTACTCACCTCGCTTTGTCTTATCTGTTGAAATACAAATCCCAGTGAGTAGATAAGGGACGTACTTCTGTCGCATAAGTCTTCAACTCCATAGTCATTCAATTCACACAAACCGTTGGCGCCTGCTGATCTTTGGTAGTTGTACGAGATGCATCTTGGTTCATCATGACAGGCCTGAATACAGTTGAACCAGTCTTTGGCGAATAACTGCTGAAAAACATGGCCGACCAAAGCATGGTTGTTTTCTGTGACCGGTTGAAATGCCACAATTTTTTGTGGTACGAAAAATAAAAGAAGTATGCTGTGATAAATGAGGTTGCTGAACATCGTCAAACTGGCGGAAAGAGGCTGCATTATCAGATTAAGCCTTTACCTTTTACACATGAAAACCAGACCCAGCTGCCTACAGATGGTAATTACCAACTGACGCATTAAAAGCTCATAGCAATTGATCGGTGCTGTCTTCCGTTGATGTTTGTTTGAAAAACCCTAGTTGCTAGCATTTAAAATTCTAGTACTTAAAACTTATCATGTTCTTTTTCTTTGTCGTAAATTTTTCCTTATTTTGAGTAAAAGATGCTTTTAAAACGGAGGGACATTAACTAAACAGTTACATTGAAATTACTTATTTCACTATTAGCAGTTACATTCAAACATTAAATGGTGCATGTTTTGACGTGTTACTCATCACAGTGTGACAAATATACGCTTGAAAGTCAGGTTAAACCTGCTACGGCTATCAACGAGCCACAGATTGTCTACTGAAATTAGCAAGAAATTAACCATTCAGGAGTACAGAAGTTCAAGTTCGTAAAAACAACTCGTAACTCAAACGTCAAAACAGATATTTTAATTCGCCCTAAAAACTGAAACTTCATCATACATGTTACTCGACTGGATACACTAAACGGAAACTGGATATGCGCATATAGTTGAACCTTCTTTGATGATATTTACTTTTTACTTTATTTAAAAACGCTGGTTAAAAACTGAATACATATGCACCAGCAACGGGAACTTAAAATGTTCACCGTCGTACAACATAGATCTTTCAACATGATTAATATATGAATGAAGGCAGATAAACTCTATCGGCCGAGAACCAAATCTATTTATAGTAAGAGAGAGTGATATGGTTTAATGCCTAAATCAAGCCAGCCATACTATTATTTATGCAAAAAAGCAAATCTACCTTTTGTTTCAAATGATTGTCAGTATGAGGCTTATGCTTACTGGAGCTTAAGAAATTAATTTGAAATACAAAATAGTTGGCAACCTACCTATTGTCAAATACTCAAATGCTAAATAAGTTCACAAAATCTAAGGATCTAAGCAACGTTTAAATGATTTCCTGCAGTATTGATATAAATGAGCATCGATACAATAAGCTTGCCACCGTACTAATTTAAATTGTTTTAGACTAACGCAGAACCACCCAGCAACTTCTTAGATTAATATTCATAAACAAATACTCTTCAATGTCACATGAAGTGTATGAGAGTAAGCTCGCACCAAAAATTCGCATTAAGGCGTCCGATGAATTTTCCCTTAATCTATTTACCTATAAGACATCATTCCTAGAAACTAGGGTCCTAAACAACAGTCAACAGTTGTTTACCATTTACACGGAGAAACCGGTTCCTCAACGGTTTGTACAAATGGTAAGCAAAAATCCCTGATGGTGAATTCCTTTCGGATTGTCCATTTACCATTTCCTTATAAACTCCCAATTTAGCGAAAGAGACTAGGACGAATTCCAAGAAGTCGGCGAAGAATTGCAAATGATAAGGACATTTTCCACTAGGAAATTTCGGTTGGAAATATTGTCTGGAACACGTTCCGTCTATTTCGAAAATTTCCCGGTCGCTCGAGTAAAAATTGTCTTACCATTTACGTTCAGACCGAAATTTCAACCGGTGTTATGGAAGAAACCCTATCGGAACTAACTTTAGGTAGTATTTTGAGGGATAAAGCTTGCTTTGTTTAGTTGATAAAAAAGACTTTAGACAGTTGCCGTTGCTTAGACATGGCAATAGGGCTCGCCAGGATACTCGCATAAGCCGCCAGACGGCGATTCTTTAAATTCCGTTCCTTGGCGACAGTCTACAAGAATTATAGCTGCACTTGTAAGGTCACACTGGTAGTAGTGAAAACAACTGTTTGGATCTTTGAATAAGCGAATGGCATCTGCTTTGAGCTGTACTTTTTCCAATGGACACTGGAATTCACCTGGAAGATGTACAACGTACAAATGTTAAGTTTAAGTTGTCGGTGGTGGGCGTTACATGCGATGCTTTTAACAACGTGTTGTTATCGACAAAAACACCTGTTTATTTGGTTTATTAGTTAAAGATTTTTTTTCTCAGTGTCTTAGGGCCTGTTTACAAGGAGGGAGGGCTACCTTAGCAGGCGGGTTAACCCTAGCTATAGGGCAAAAGATAGCCCGGGTTAACAAGCAAAATTTCACAGGTAGGGTAACCCTACATTCCGGAACAACTTAATGCGCGGTTGCACTCAAAGGGTGTCGAAACAATTAGAAAGTTAACCCGGGTAGGCGGGTTAACCCTACCTGGAGTGTTTACAAGCTAAAGGGATTAACCCGCCTGCCAGGGTAACCCTATCACGCAGAGAGCGTACCCCGCCTGCCCGGGTAACCCTAGCTGCCTCGTAAACACGATGAAGGAAAAAAAGAGGAAATGTGTTAGTGCTAGGGTAGCCCGCTTGCCAGGGAAACCTGTTCGCTAGGGTAACCCTCTCTCCTTGTAAACAGGCCCTTAAAACGAAGAGTGTAGTACAATTTCATATGGACATCAAACGCGCAGGGGCCTTAAAACGGGAAGCAAACTAATACAAAGCTAGAGGATTATTGCTAAATTGGCTATTGTGCCTCTGAAGGCAATAAACTTGAGCCCCTACCAAAACGATACGAAATAGTCTAACGGGTTGGTTTGCTATCATCCTTTCACACACTCAATGTTCTTGTTATAGATGTGAAAAGAAATCTTACTGTCATCGCTTGTGTTAACAAATGTAGGAGAGCTAGAAGGTCCATTTCCAATTCGATTAGAGGCCATCACTGAGATACTGTAATCTGTGTTCCTTGTGAGATTTGTCAGTGTCGCAAACCGTGATGGAGCAATGATTAATTTCTCCTCTACGAGGAATCCAGGTGTAACTGAATGATAACTGACGGTGTAATTCACGATAACACCATTTTGATCACTTGTTGGAACCTCATTCCACGTGACGCCGATACTGTCCATGGTTTTGTTAACTGCTCGCACAAACTGGGGAGGAGAACTGGGTTCTGAAATAAAATGCCATGGTTATTCCTCTATCCCCTAAAACTCAGTAATTTAGAATTGCATGTTACATATTCACGCGTTGATATCATAATATATAGATTTAGGCCAGCCTAAAAGCGTAGCTCCTGGGCCGTGTTGTTCAGAGTCAAATAACCCAGGAGAAAGGTAGAATTTTGATTTCAGTTTTGTAGGTTTGCGGCGCGGTTCTCTGTATATTGTTTGGCCTTCTGTTTTGAGCTTTAATAATCACTGTANCCTTTTCTCTCCTATATGAGTATGGGGCTCCGCTTGGCGGCCCTTCGGGCCGCCGGAGCTCCGCTATTATTACAGAAACTACACTGTAAAACTCTTTTTTTTTTAATTCTTAATGCACTGTTTTGAAATGGACTGCCTGTTAGGATAACGTTTCTACTCAAGGACATCGAGGAATTGAAGAATAAAATTACGCTATTCTCGACCACAGGGTCGATCGATCTTGAAGCTTACTATCACGATTCCAAAAGTCAAAACAGTAAAACATATGTTTAATGATAGAAACCTAAAAATAATGCAATAATTTTGTTGAAAACTACTCTGTAGGTTTGCTGAAGTTATAAACGGAGTCTTGTGGGAAATTACGTATGCCAAGGCCGTAGTCAGATGCAAATATTTATCTAGACAGCATTTTGAAAAAAAGAAAAATGTCTTTCATATCATAGTTCATATATACTATGTTCATATATATTATATTCTTAGTATCCTGAACAAATTATGAAACTGAAATGTTTACCGAGGCAACTGCCTCGGCTCGCCTGTTATTAGTCTTGGCCCTTTGTCAATGAGACCGCCTTGCGAAATTGAAAATGTTTGGCAGACTGCCTTTGAAAATCACTTCAACATTTCACGTTATATTTCCATCGTGGCGTTCTGGCAAAGATTCGTGTTAAAGCGAAGCTAGGTAGTCAAAATTTAAGCAACATTTTTATCAAACTCCCTGTAGACAAATCGCCGTGTTAGTGTCCCTGTCAAGTGTTTCATACGACAGGAAATATATTACCTTTCTAGTACAAGCATTTATACAAGTAAGTGCAGAGGTAGACTTACTATCCTGATCTGTAGCCACAAAAATAGGTTCGCTCGCTGGTCCATATCCCTTACTGGTGGAAGCCATAACTGTGATGGTGTAGTTGGTGTTGTGTTCCAAGCCTTCTATCTCCAAGTATTGGGTAGGGGCTTGGACCTCCTTTCTTTTTGTTTCGTTGCTTGTTGTTGATGTGTAATCCACTCTGTAACTCTGAATGCTTCCTTGGCGCTTACTTCTTGGTACTTCACTCCACGTGACCAGTATACTTGTTGACGTCTTGTTGACTGCCGTGATATTCTGAGGGGCTGCGTCAGGCTCTAGAATGTATTGTAAATGGTATTTTAATTAAAAATATAAAACAAACAGCGATGATAAACATTTCAAAAACATGCATTTTATGAACTTGACGTTTCGTATGCCAGTCAACATACATTTTCAAAGTATAAGCGTTAAAATTTTTTTTGGAAAGCTATTTATACTGTATCAATGGGGATCTGGAACCTAGACGGAAAAACATCTGCAGTAGAAATTTAAGACGTCTCAAACGGAAACTTTCTGTAAAGTGAACAATGGAAAAGCTTTCCTAGTAAAGTAAAAGCTTTTCACTGCTGACATTGGCATTCAATGCTGGCTGCAACTACTGAATAAATAAGGTCTATCACCGCTGTTTGTTTTATATTTTTAATCAAGCTACGATGGCTGAAGACCAAGAGTTTATATGGCATTTTAATATTCAACGGTAGTTGTATCACCATCAGCATTGTCATCAGCTACAATATTGTGAAATTAAACAACTGATGAACCGATCAGAGCGGGTATCACTTGATAAAAGTTATATAACAAAACTTACTGTCTTCGTCTGTCTTCACAGAAAGAACGTCACTAGCGGGACCATCTCCACATTCATTAAAGGCTAACACTGCAATGGCGTGCTTTTGGTTCTTTCCAAGACTGGTCAGGTTAAGGTCAGCCATTGCGACGCTGACTTCGTTGGTTGTCCTGCCATCGTTTAACAGAAAGGTGTACTGCACCTTGTACCCCAGAATTTTGCCGTTTCTTTGATTGGATGAAACAGCATCCCACGTGATGAATATGCTGGTGGAAGTCTGATTGACCGCTGCCACATTTTGAGGGGAAGCCGCGGGCACTGAAAATATGTTAGTTAATTATCAACGTTTCCTTTCAAATGAAAGCAACTAAACGAGAAGAATGCCTGAGATTTCGAAGAATATGAATAATCGTACAACTTTTCGGTAAGGACTGCTTTAATCTAACTGTGCTTTTTTTTTATCTTTGCGAAGCTTAGTCACAAGAAGGAATGTATAGTTTTAAATTACTACAGAGAAAATGTTTCACCTGAATTCTCCAAACTGCAGATTTGTTCATTCTATATTGCGTGGAGTCAAAAAGAAGAACGTCGGTTAGTTTTTGCATGGGTAGTTCGTAAACGACACTGAAAACTGAAAGCTACTGATTCAAAGAAACAATAATACAGTCTTGTATTGAGCATAAGCTGTCGACAGTTCCTCAGCTACATCAACGTATCAGCTACATCAGCTNGAGAAGAATGGAAAGGTTTGTAAAAATATGAATAATCCTACACCTTTTCGGTAAAGACTGCTTTAATCTAACTTTACTTTTTTATCTTCGCGAAGTTTAGTGAAGAGAAGGAATGGATAGTATTAAATTACTACAGAAAAACTTTTTTCACCTGAATTCTTCAAACTGCAGATTTGTTCATTCTATATTCCGTGGAGTCAAAAAGAAAAACTAAAGTTAGTTGTTGCATGAGCAGTTCGAAAACGACACTGAAAACTGAAGGCTACTGATTCAAGGAAACAATAATACAGTCTTGTATTGAGCATAAGCTGTCGACAGTTCCTCAGCTACATCAACGTATCAGCTACATCAGCTTATCAGCAAATTAATCATCTGACAGATCTGTTATGAGTAAATTGCTGGTTTGCTTAAGAGTATTTCTGTGGGAATCAACTAATTACTGAATCTTATCAGGCTAACGAGATTATGTCAGTATAAGAAAGGAAAATAAAGATCTCGTACTTAAGCTTAAGCTTAGAAATTATATTTAAATTATATCTATTTTTTAATCAAATTGTATAATTTAAGGTATATTGTATCTTTACAGTAAAATTAAATTGTGCAATCGTCAATTTAAAAATAGTCCTGATGGTACTCGAGGTGCATTCACGGTGAAATCCTTCATCAGTCACCGGCGATGCGTGTCATGTTCTCGAATGGAACCGTGTAATAAGAGAAAAAAAATGTTTTTTTTCCGTAGCTAATCTATAGATTCGTATACCGTAATCTTGCAGTTTTTATCAGCTACTGACTTACTCTGCCTTCTCTTATCTGCTGAAATACAAAGCCTTTCGAGTAGATGAGGGACTTATCTCTGTCACAAAAGCTTTCAGCGCCATTATCATTCAGTTCACACAAACCATTGGCGCCTGCTGATCTCTCGTAGTTGTACGAGATGCATCTTAGTTCATCATGACAGGCCTGAATACAGTTCAACCAGTCTTTGGCAAATAACTGCTGAAAAACATGGCCGACCAAAATATGATTGTTTTCAGTTATTGGTTGAAACGCCAGTGTTCCCTGTTGTATTATTACGACGAAGAGGACAAGAAAAATGGTGGACCTGAACATTGTCAAAGGGTCGATTTAAATTATCGCAGTGAGCTTTTGCCTTTTACCATAGAAGCTGATATCAATGCAGCTGGTTATAGCCGTAAATTAACAAATGACTCCTAAAAAGCTTAAAGTAATTGCTCTCAATTATCTTTGTATAATATTTGAAAAATACTATTTTCTGCTATTTAACTTTTCTCTTAAAGTTTTTCATGTTCTTTACCTTACTATCGAACATTATTATTTAAAAAAAAGAAAAAAAGAGAATATATTTTCAGTGGAAGTAGACTCTATTGAATTTTCTCCCAGTTCGGTGATGTGTAAAATAAATTGCCAAATGCGACTTGTTAATTTTTCTGTCACAGCTGCTAAGGACCTTAATCTCAAAATTAACATTTTAAACTCAACTCGGTCATAGCTGTCAGTGAGTCACAAATTGTTCGCTAAATTAATTCTACAAACACAAACTTAACTGAGGTACAAAATTATGGCAACAGCGCATTAGTTAAATGTAAATGTACAAGGATCTATCAGCAAATGAGCCTGTGAAACAAGGCTTCACCCATCGATACATTTCACTACGAGCTTATCACCTCAGGTAATAAGTTACTTATTTCGTTGAGAACTACTCTCGTTAATGGTATTTATTATTCGTTGAAAACAATCTACTTTATTTGTAATGATGCTTATGAATAAGCAAGGAAAGATATATAGATATGGAAGATATTTTTAAGAACTCAGTTCAGCTCACTCAGCATGTGTTGAATGTAATTCAGATGAGCAAAAACTTGCCTTTGTAGCCTGATTCTTAGTATGAAGCTCACGTTAGCTGGAGCCTGCTTTTAAAAGAAAATAGTTAAAATGCATACTTTGCTCACTTTGCATATCTCACTTTATATTGGACGACCTGCTATCTGACAAATGTCCTTCAATGTTTATTGCCAGGTGTTAATCAGTATCAAAAAATCTAAAGACGTCAGCAAAGAACAGTTTGAACGTTATAGCGGTCTCAGAAGCGAAAAGGTTAAAGTGTATTTATAATCTTGATTCATTAATAAAAACGTTGGTTTGTACCTAAGACTATCTTTTTGTAACTAAATTAAATAGTACGTTTTACCGGCGGCCCTTGCTTACAAGCAGGAGTGTGTCACAAATACTCCATTTATACAGTATTGTGGAAAAGTAATTTAAGGGAAGATCGCCGAATTTCGTGCATTGTTGTCCCCAAACGTCTCGGATACTTCAGCGAAGTTTAATAAGTAATTTATCAAACGGCTGTAGTTTAACCAAAGGTAATCGAGTAAGAAGTGGGAGTCGCCGGTTGTGAACGCACTTTTAAAATCCGTCTCCCGTCAATGGATTTTTGTCCAATCTCTTTCCCGTCCAAAGTGCCTGTATTTGGCTTAGAACTGCAGTCTATTTACAAGTGCAAACTAAATTTTACTGTCTTGGTTTCAAGTTAAGAGGATGAAATATCATCGTCCCTTCGAAGAATCCAACCCCAAAAGTCGGACAGAGTGTTCATGGTACAGTTTGATCTTTATCTGTGGCCACAAAAATAGGCTCGCTGGCTGGTCCATATCCCTTACTGGTGGAAGCCATAACTGTGATGGTGTAGTTGGTGTTGTGTTCCAAGTCATCTATCTCCAAGTATTGGGTAGGGGCTTGGACCTCCTTACTTTTTGTTTCGTCGCTTGTTGTTGATGTGTAATCCGCTCTGTAACTCTGAATGCTTCCTTGACGTTTACTTCTTGGCACTTCACCCCACATGATCAGTATACTTGATGACGTCCTGTTGACTGCTGTGACATCTTGAGGAGCCGCATCAGGCTCTGGAATGTGTCATAAGTATCGGTTTTAATACAAAACGCCATTCGATAACAATATGGAAATGTTATAAACATGCATTACTAAGGTTAACAAAGTAGATTATAAAACAGCCCTGATCAGTATACTTGTTGACGTCTTGTTGACTGCCGTGATATCTTGAGGAGCCGCGTCAGGCTCTGGAATGTGTCATAAGTATCGTTTTTAACATCAAATGCCATTCGATAACAATATGGAAGAGTTATAAACATGCATTACTAAGGTTAACAAAGTAGAAAAGCAAATGCATGGGACCATGGTACATGGAGGCATATACCGTAAAATTCCATAGGGGGGAGGGGGTGTGTGGCTTATAACCAGAACTTTACGATATATACGCAGTGGTGTGTGTAGGTAGGTACATTGTTATGTGTAAAGTAACTTATACTTGGAAACTAAGGATTTGCATAATCTAATCTACTAGTCGTTCAAAACTTTCTCTCAATCCTCTTCACGGACCCTTTGAAAAAGTCAAGAAGCGGCCGCCACTTTGTCAACAACCGCACACGCGCTAGGCTACTGACTCTCCACAATAGGCAATTGAGTGAGTAGCGCAGCCAAATTAGAGAACAGTATTCATGATTCAGCGCTAGTAGATTTTTACTAAAACGCGATAGATTATGTTTTCTACTTCCTAAATAAAACACTTACTGTCTTCATCTGTCTTCACAAAGAGATTCACACTACGAGGTCCATCTCCACATTCATTGAAGGCAGACACTGTAATATTGAAATTTCTGCTCTTTCTGAGTCCTGTTAGGTTGACGTAAACCATTGCAACGCTAACCTCTTCGGTGAATTGCCTGTCATCGATTTTGCTTTGTAATGTCAAATTCACTTTGTACCCCAGAATGTTACCGCTTCTTTGATTGGATGGAACAGCATCCCACCTCAGGAAGATGCTGGTGGAAGTCTTACTGACCGCTGTCACATTTTGAGGAGCGACGGAGGGCACTGAAAAAAAGATTTATTTAGTGTTTGCATGTTAACTCCAGATTAGGATAATGTATAACGGGAGATTCGAAAGCTCGAAAAATTACTGATTCCACGGTATCAGGACAAAATTTGTCATTAATGACAAGACAATAAAATCGCCGTCACCAAGAAAAAGTCCTGTCTGGCTAACTGAAAACTACAGTCCTGGGGCTAGATTCATGATGCTCTGCATGGACAGTGTATGGGTAACATGTACCGTGGGGGATTTGTAGGTATTTTTGCCATTTCGCTACGCTTTGGCAGCATGTAGGCGAGTTTGATCGCTGTATGGCTTGTAATTTGGCAAGAAGCAGTGGTCCAGGTCAATGACGAATAGACAGCATTTTCCGGTATTTCAGAAAAAGAGGTATACATAAATTTTTGGAAGTTTCTCCTGGAATTTCCGTTCCATTTGTCTTTCCGAATGGAATTTCCGGCGTTTTCGGAAATTCAACAGTTTACGGATGTTCTGAAAACTTTCCCAGGAAATTTTCGTAGCATTTTGTCCCCGTTTCGAAATTTTTAATTGAATGAGAAAGCGCCCATGAGAAGGATATTAGGACAGTATATATAGATTACGTCATAGAAAGTGCGACGTACGGATTTTTATTCATGAGTTCCAAAGTTTTTCGACTAGTGAATAAAAATCTTTACAAAGCACTTTCTATGTTGTAATTTGTTTATTGTATATATAACAAGAATTAAACATATCCGTTGAATCAGTTTTAGTCTACCCGATACCGTAAGTTTACATGCAGGACAGCAACAAATTCAAAACTGATCTAAATGATCGATCGTAATGAAAAAACAAATCTGCTTTCCCGTCCAGCAACAGGCGGACAAAGAGCCTACACAAGCTTAAATGTAATACGGGAGAAATACATAGTGTGAAATCTTTTCGCTTGTCCCTAATCACTCTCAGATTCAATCATGTAATAGCGGCGCTT